AGTGGAGCTCAGCACCAAGCTGGGTAATGGTCTAAATGTCTGTGAGCTCCAGAGATTCTCTTTGCCCCTCTGACTTTCACCCCAGAGTCTAGAGGTCATTCTGTTTAGTGATGCTTGCATGTGAAGATAACACTGGGTGTTTTATAAGTACACTGCTTTCATGCTGTAATAAGTGACATAGTCAAAGTATTTAAGCTCTAAATTATGAAAACCGCTTTAGTGAAGTAATGAGGGGCAGGTGGATTATGCTCCAAGATGATGCTAACTTTTGAAAATGCACTTTAACTCTTTTGGAAGAGTACTAAGTATTAGTTTTGCTTATAGACAGAAGAGGTCTAATTATGCCTAGTTGCACACAAGGATTAAACATCTCTTTCCATCTCAAAAGTATGATAGTAGTACTTTCTTCTTTTTGACATACACTGAAAGAATGAGTATTATTCTAAAACAGGCATTCCCAACCTGTGGGTCATGCCCCCTTTGGGTGTAAAGGGTGGAACGACCCTTTCACAGGGGTGGCCTGAGACCGTTGGAAAACCACAGATATTTACACGATAACTCATAACTCACAGAAATGTCAATGTTAAGAAGTAGCAACGAAACAGTTTTATGGTTGGGGGTCACCACAACATGAGGAACTATATTAAAGGGTCACAGCATTAGGAAGGTTGAGACCCACTGTTCTAAAAGACAAGAAATACATTTATAGGCTGGCTGCTTTGTTGACGTCCTCTCTCTGAGAGTCGAAGTCCTTTATCTCCAAAAGCTTTTCAACAGAAGAGACTGTATAATGCTACAAGAATGCTGAGAGAGGTTGAAAAAGTAAAAATGCCCAAGGAGAAAAGTCCTGATGCCTTTTATGAGACACCAGGGATTGGTTGTGGGCTTCCATACATGCCCATAGGGATGTGTATGAATGTACTGAATTTTTACTGTATTGATAGTGTGAGGTGAGAGCCCGTGGGGAGAGGGCCAAGATAATGAGAAAATGTACTATCTTGCTTCCTTTTGATTTGTTAAGGATGCCTGGGAAATGGATCTCAAGCTATGCAACCCACAGCACGCTCTTCAGTCTATCCTCAAACTATGCATGAGTAGTCACCCTGTCTCTTTTCCTGCTCAAATGTCTATTGATTTGTTTCAAGTGGGAGCTGAAAAGAAATACACAGCAGAACTTTCTTCCTGATGGCGGCAGGTGAATGACAACTAGAAATGTCAAACGGAAAAGAAACGTGGCGCCAAGCGTCAGACCCTCACCCGCAGAGGTGCAGCTTCCCGAAGTGCACGACCTCCCTCCTCCAGCCCCGGGTGGTCCCTGCGTAGTAGGTGCTGCTCGGGTGGTGCTCCGTGGAGCACAAGGAGCTGACATGGCTGCTGCTGTGGTAGCAGAGGGGCAGCAGCAGGTGCCAGGTGGCTCCGAAGTCCCTTGAAAACTCCAGTCTGACTGGATCAGCAGATGAGCTATCCGTGGAGCATCCAACATTGATCTTGGGAGGGAAGAAAAAGGGACACAGATTACCTCAGAGCAACAAGCCCTGACAGCGGCCATCTTTCCTGGAGCCCCTTTAAGCCCTGGGAAGCGTCTTACCGAAATATAACTCTGGAAGATCTATTCTGAACAAGTAATATTATATATTATCTTTAAATTACATTTTCTTCATAAGGAGCCTACAAAGGTCTCATAAAAACCATTTTCTCTCATGTTATAAGAAATAGAAAATGGACAAGGGAAAGGCTGAGCTAACTCCAAATTTTACCTTTGGCTCATTTTTTTAAAATCACCATCAAGTCAAGAAAATAATAATGAAAAGAGTGTTTCTTTCTGAACTATTAGCTTCCTTATCAGTTTACTAAGCAGTAACCTTCTATTTTCTTTCTTATGACACCTTATAAATAATTCCAAAAGTTTTGAACTTCAACACACATTCAATACAAAAACAAAATAGAATACAAGCATTGCTATTTTTTGTTGACACCAGTAAAGATTTTCAAAAATTGTAAATATTCAAGAAGGACAGCCTTTTGAGATAGTGTATGTGGTGAAATGACAATTGAAGTTAAGAAAATCAATCTACTCACTTCTGTAGCTACTTTGTGCATGTATTCTTGTACACACATATGCCTGGTGTGTGGTAAGGAAACCTAAAATCTGCTTTGTAATTTCCAGTATGTAACATAGTATCTTAAACTCTATCCGACATGTTAAATCTGCTTTGTAATTTCCAGTAGGTAACACAGTACCTAAAAGTCTAACCCACATGTTGGACATTGGTACTACATTCTTCTTCAAATCTAATGGCAAACTTGTAACCTTTGACCTTTTCTTTTCCTTCCTTCCTGATAATCCCCTTTCTGCTAAATGCATGTGACTCTTTCTGGGCCAGATCTCATCTTTCCAGTGTAGATGAACATGTTCTTATCATCATGCCATTATAATAACTGATTATTAATATGTGAGTGGGCGTGGAGGGGAAGAACACACAGAAGGAGGGTGTGACTGTCCCTTTATCTTCTGACGAACAAACAACTGAGGCTTGTTGAACTTTGGACAAAAGTGCTACTTTTTCTTAGCATTTAACCCATAGATACCAGAGTAATGCCACTCACCACCAAGAACACAACAAACCTTTTATTCTGTTGATTTTACTCAAGTGTTTTAATATGAAAATGTTTTAATTATGGATTTACTTTCTTGACAAATATAAGGAATGCATGAAATGTCAACTACACATAAGTATATTTAATACTGTAAAAAGTGTGACACTGTTTTAAATGAAAAATTCACAGTAGCATGATAACATTCTATGAGTATGCTGGTACATTATAGACTATAGTTAGATTGACCTACATCCTAAGAAATTCTAATTTTATATAAGATCTGTGAAAAATAACAAGACCACAATAGCATTCTTACACATTTTTATAATTTTAAAGTAATTAATTTCAACACTTATTCTAGTAGTTGGGAGGGAATCTATGTTACAAGTAACGCTGTTTCTGAAACAGACTTTAGTATAATAAATTGGTCTGATGTTAAAAGTAAGTAAGACACACAAGCCTTTTATGGCCTTATACAAAACCAGAAAATCACAGTGGACGAAATTAGCTAAGACTTCCCTCTTCTTGCTGAGGCTTTGTTCAAGATAAAATTTAAAGTATTTCTAATAGAACAGTCAATACCTCAAACTGAATGATGGTGTTCTCATTTACACTTATGTCACGGGTGGTAATGGAGTGCTCACCAACTTCATTGGAAACAAACACCATGGCTGAATCTTCCTCACTGGTTATCAAAGAAGCAAAAGGAAATAGTTTAGGCAAAATTTCCTCCTGATTTGGATGGCGCAATGGCTTTACTTTTAGCTTTTCAACTCAATACTTACGGAGCTCCCTTTGAAGAATACGGACAGTAAAGACCTATGTTACCACCCGGGTAGAAAAACCAGTTGTCTTCTCTGGGCCCAAAGTCAAACGTATCCAGAAGCATCACAGGGTTGTTCAAATTATTTCCATCAACAATGAAGTCATCAATAATCCAGATTTCCTCTTTCTTACCTGAGACAGTTTTGGATAAATAAAATTTTTCCAAAGAAGAAAATCAGATTTGCTCATTGAAAGAAAATCAGCGACAACAGCCTCAGCATATGCTTTCCAGATGAAACTCACAAGCCACATGGCAGCGTGTTCACAGCGATCAAAGTGTGAGGAAAATAAGCTTGCAACCATATTAAATAACAGAGCACCGAACAGCCGTCCTAATCTCAGGGAGGGCTGATGAGCAGTTTGCTCATGCACACTGTCCTAGTCGGCTGAGTACCATGGGCCTGTGGCAATAGCCTGGTTCTTAAATGAAACGCTCCACCTTGTCTCCCTTCACACCCATCATGGCCCTAATTCCAGTAGCTTGCTTTCATTTACTTGGTTTGAAAGTGATGGATACAAAACAAATATTCATTTCAGATATAACATGAGGCCCATCATCTTCTGGATTTTTAAACTGGGTATATTTCTTTTTCAGTTTTGTTTGATCTTTAAGTAAGATTCATGCATATAAAATATCAGGTTAAATATATGTTATATTTTATAACCTGTACACTTTATATAATTTCATATGTACTTTATATCATCTCATAAATCCATTTAGAAATCTACCATGATTTTATCTTACAACATGTTGAAATTTTATTTCATTTTTTATTTAGTAGTTATAAAAGAAATATATAGGTTAAATTTTGGAGACAGAAGTATATCTTTCCTACCTGTTCTTGTTATTTCTGCTTAATATGGTGTAATTGTACTTATACAGGCAGCTAGATGTGTGTTTTGGCAAAATTGGCCCTTTAGACTCAATACTAATAGAACTATAAGAGTCAAAGTTAGAAACTGGAAAAATCTTGTGTAAACGTGAAATGCTGTTAAATGCTGTATTTGTTTGGTGTAACACTGAAGCCAGGGGCTGTGACTGGGATGTAAGACACCGCCTGCTTGGTTTAAGTTCCTCTGGCTTTTTCTTGGATTCTACAATAACCTGTTTCCCTAAGGAAATGCCATTCAGAAGAACGGTACATTCCTAAAGGAATTCAACAAAACAGCTGCTACTGGTGAGTAACTAATGGTAATGATGGATTATTAAAAAACACAGCAAAACAAAACACTGAAATTCTGTGGCTCATACTGTAATCCCAGCAACTTGGAGGCTGAGGCAAGAGGATCTTGAGTTCAAAACCGTTCTGAGCTATATAATGAGTTTTGGGCCAGCCTGTGAGTAAAGGGGAAGATGTTTCAGTCAAAACCAAATGAAGAGAAACTAAAACAAGAATTTATCAGTTAGTTATGACAAGGTGACAAGGATAAAATAAAGTTGAATTTTCAATGAGAATGGTCAAAAGGGAAGCATGTAAAATGTGAGTGGCATGCACAGCCAGTGTGCCTCTCAGGGAATCCTTTCTCTATGTCTTAGGAACAAGAACATTAACACATGGCCGTCAGTCTTGATCAAAATAGAATGCATGCATTTTTACCATTGCTATATGGTTGCCAGAGTCTGAATCTTGTAGCGTTGGTCTGGGCGCTGTACGGCAAGGGAACATTAATGAAAAGTGTACTGGTTGTCTGAGGGAAGTAGAACTCATCCATGAGGTGCCAGGTGATTCCTCCATTGACAGAGAACTGTAACAGGATGGAGTGAGACCGCTCTGGAGTACCTAGGGAGGAGACAGCACAGGCATCGAGCACACTGTGAGGAGGACATAGTCTGCTCCGAGCTGACTCTTTGGGCATCAGTGCGTGAGCCTGTGTATATTTTTATAGAAGACTTTCTGCTCCAAATACTTAAGTGGCAACTGAAAGTGATTGTAGGCAGAGCTTGTAAATGAATATATTTTAAAACACACACACACACACACACACACACACACACACACACACACACACATGCCTGCACTCTCCTTCTCTCTTTCCTTTCTTCCTTCTTCCTTCCTTCCTTCCTTCCTTCCTTCCTTCCTTCCTCCCTCCCTCCCTCCCTCCCTCCCTTCCTTCTTTTCTTTCTCTCTCCTATATCTAGGAGATACCAAATTAAAACTTATTCATTCTACTGACATCACAATTTTGCAAATGTTCAAACATTTAAGTCAAGGGAATATAAACAAAAAATCACTTGAAAATGTTATATCTGTAGTGACTATTTTTAAAGAAAAATATTCAATTAAATATGAAAAGTCAAAAACTAAGTAGTGCTTTGGGAGGATTCACATCTGTAAAATAAACCCCAAATGTTCATAAATTAATAATTTTTAATTTAAAATTCTGATAGCTAGAAAGCAGTGACGGCGGGATTCAAGGACATGCTGGCAAGTTTACCAGCTAGCACAGTAACCACATCTATATTAAACAGTTTAGGACAGCACTTATTGCACCCCTACGGTAAGAGGAACTTGTGTAAAGATCATTTGTGAACAGGGAAGTTTAAGGGCCCTTAGTGGGGCTTTTTGTGGGGGAGAGATTGAGCACAGGACAATTTTCTAGAAGGAAAATGACACATACCATGGGAATAGCTTACCTTTTGCTATAAATCTCAGTGAAAACTGGACATACATAGTATTGGTGCAATCTAGGTCTCTTGAAATAAGCATTCTTAGTCCCTCCTGAAAATAAAAGAGAAAAGAACCTTATGTCATTTGCAGAATGACTTGTATGTTATATACTTACCTTGCATTAATTAAGCGATAGCTACATAGATGTAATGGTAGTTACATATGGTAAGCAGTAATGTTTTGTCTAGCTTCAAAGGACACAAGGAAGAGACCCTCTCCTTCTCTTACTGTCCTCATTCTCAGTGTTTAAGGAACACAATTTCATCACCCCAACCTCTAATTCATACTTTTTTTGTGGCTATTATTAAAAGTGGTGCAAAAATGATAGTGCTGTCCACTATTGGCATTTTAAAAATAGTCTCTTTTGATCACAGCGTGTTGTGGAAGAAGCAAGGAGGAAAAAGATAAAAAATGTGCCGAGTGCTCCTGCTGGAGGCCAAGAACTAATAGCTGACTTTTGCAGGGCTCCAAGGAGTCTTGGGAACTCACTACTGCTTTGCCTGCTCTGCCAGCCCCAGGAGGTTCTCATTCAGGCTGACACAACGCCCCAGTTGGCCGAGTTAAATAAGGCAGAGCGAAGGCAGGTCCCCATGCCTAGACTGCAACCACTCATGCAGAGAAACCACACAACGAGGAAAACGATCACATTAGCTTTAATAATTTTTTCTGCTAATTAACTATTTCTGGTGGTCTGAGATCGACATTTCAGGTTGTTTTGTTCATGTATATAGGGGCTTGTGATGACAGCCAGTACATTTCACTATGCAAAGATCCCAAGGTCCAGACAGGTTTTTAATTTCTCAGCTGAGCCTGCTGAGTGAAGTGACTTTTCAGTAGCCTGTGGCTGGGACAGTACCAACTGATTTCCTTATTATCAACTAACAAAGACTAAATGCTGTATTAGCGAGGAAAAGTAACTTTTTTTTCTCTACTTCATGTTTATACAGACCACTGTCACTAATAGCTGAAACAGCAAACATATACTGAGTGCCTAAAACATGCTGGGTTTTAATAGACACTTTACTGATTAAGTATTCTTAAGAGAAAGATTATTCTCGTGTTGCAAATGAGAGAGAGAGAGAGAGAGAGAGAGAGAGAGAGAGAGAGAGAGAGAGAGAGAGAGAGCACAATGTTTAGTCTATTAACTCATCTATTGATTTGGATAGAAAGAGGAAACCATATCATTTTGAATTTAGAATCTAAGAGTTATTTGGGTAGTATAATGAAAAATGCCATCTCATTTATTCTCACCTCTTTATACACCATAATCATAAACTTCCAGGATTGAAAGTAGCTTTGAAAGGCCATGTACCAATGATTTTTGTTTTTCTTTCATGTCTAACAATTCATGGCCTTGCCACAGTGCGTAATCAATGCCTGTCCCTCAAGCCCTCTCCCTTCGGCATCTGCAAGCTCAGTGCTGTGAGTTCTTTTCTAGCTCAGGGTCACAAGGAAACTGGGATGTGGACAAAGGGGGCATCCTCAGACAGCTCAGAGATTCTGCTAACAATATCCTTTGCTGACAGTAAGATACAGGATTATTACTCCCCCCTTGGTTATGGAATGTAAATATGAAACTGTTCCCAAGGGCAAGCCTAGCCACTGCACAAGGACCTGCGTTACACTGCTTGTTTTCTGGGAGACTGTGGCCTTGACCTGTAGGTGTAAAGGCTCCTTGCATGCTGCCAATAGTCTAGCTCAGCACTTGATACTGACCT